AAAGACTATACTTTATGTTAAAGTTGATGGTGAATATCGTCGAGTTTTTATATTAATTAATACATCCGTTATTAATATTAGTAATTTAATTGATTGTTTTCTTATACAATATGAACCAACATTGATTGCAGAAGAAATTCTACCAATTAAATTAGTTAATAATAACTTTAAGGAATCATACAACATTTGGAAGTCTCTTAATGAAATACGTGAAGAAGAATTTGCTTTTCTACAATGTCCGAAAAAAACATTGAATGAAAAATATATTCTATGTGAATTTTTTGATTTTTCTATTAATGGATCATTTCGTCCACCGACTGTTCTAGTTTGTCCAACTCAAAATTGTTCTTATATTCATTTATCAGATCAAATTGACCAAATTCTTGGTCATCTTTGTTCCGTAACTAATGCACCAATTTCTGCTTGTCATTTATATTGGACTGATTCCTATGACAAACGATATAAATTGAGAACAAACGAAAAATTACCATATTTGACTCGAATCACTATTGAAATGTCTGCTGAATGGATCGATATTTACAAAGTATATGATAATATTAATAATTCAAGGGATAATTCAGCATTAACTAGTTTATTAGCCGATTTTTTTCATGAAGAACCTCTCGATGATGATTACCATTGTCTTATATGTTCAAAATTAACGAAAGCTCGACAAAAATCTAGTTTATGTTTGCCATTACCACAAATACTCATTATTCAATTAAAAAGATTTACTTATGATATTCATTCAAATGATAAAATTGATACACATATCTCATTTCCTCTATATGAATTAGATCTTAAGGAATATTTAGTAAAAAATACTAATAATCAACACGAAAATGATTTATCAACAAAATATAATCTTGTTAGTGTTTCCAATCATACAGGTAGTCTCATATCTGGACATTATATAACATATGCAAAAAATGTTCAAGATGGTAATTGGTATCAATTTGATGATAAAGTTGTTAAAAAACTTAATAATGATAATGATATTGTTACTAAAAATGCATATCTACTTGTTTATGTACGAACAACTCGATGATAATAATCGACAGAATTCTTTGTAAAACTTTTATACTTAAATAAATACATCATTTTTTGTTTTTTGAGGATTGATAATTATGAAACATGTACAAATTGTATTTTATTTTATATAATAAATATTAATGTTTTTTCTTTTACTCATTAATTTTCTTAATATAAAGACATCAAAATTGCAAAAAATGTAACACAAATGCATTATTAGATAAATAGTGTAGGTTGGTGTTTAGTACTTCATGAAATATTTACGAGTAAAAATATATCTAAATACTTGAATATATAGTATATACTAATGAGTAAAACGACACTAATTATTGTCGACCAAGCCGTCATAATTCTGTTTACTATTCAGTGCATTTCGTGGAAGAATATGTTTCCAAAGACAAAGATTAAATATGAAAAAAGAAGTTTTCTATATATTGTTTTCGAATATTTTACTTACAAACTCTATAATTTTCTCTTTATTATGTTAGAGTTTGTTTTCTGCATAATGATATTGAACAACTACTGTAACAGTTGAAATTGATGGAAATAACATTAATGAAAATAGTAATTCATCATAACAAAACGACGCTCCTACAAGTACACTTCCATCTACAGAGAACGTTTCTTCTTTTAATAATACTCAAACTGGTCGAACAGGTGCGACTTCGTTTTAAATAACTAAAGAAAAACAAGTTAAACGAAGTCAGTCATTGTTTCAATCAAATCTAGATTGAAAATATATAGAGCATGTGTACTTCCAGTGCTGCTGTATGGAAGTGAAACTTGGTCAATCACTAAAACACATGAACAAAGAATTAACACGTTTTATATGAAATGTCTTAGAATAATCATTGGTGTAAATTTAGGTGACCGGATGTCAAATGATAAAATACTAGAAATCACTGGGCAACCACAAATTGAACAAATTATGCGTCGAAACAGATTAAGGTGGTTTGGTCATGTCAGCAGAACGATGAACAGTGATAATGAACCATCAGCGGTGAAAAAGATTACGTTCTCTTATTTTCCAGAAGAGAAACGTCCAGTTAATATTGGAATTAGGAAAAGGTAGGAGGATAAAGCGAAAGAAGATATTGATTACTGTCATATTAAAAATTGGAGGAAGGATTCTCTAAATAGAGATTACTGGAGAGAATTGATTAACAAAAATGTTCAGAGTAGACCTGTACATCAAGATATTAAAGAAATCATCTACAAGTATAAACAACTAGCTGTAAATCGAAGAAATAATGACTTAGCTACATCTCACGAGGTGATGAAAAGAAAAATAACAGAAATTCTTGTTAAAAATACCAATAATCATTATGTCTGTCCTAGCTGTGGAATTCAATTCAAACCCCAAGGAATTACGAATCATGTAAAGGCGTGTGTTAATGCTCAGATTTGGTGCAAGAACAATAAAATTAAATAAGGATCTTCAAATGAATATAAAACACCGTCTGAACGTTGTAAGTATGGTTATATGAAGAAGTCCATTTAAAACTGGTTTACCGGAGGGTGGTCTCCGGATCTTCATGCTTTTCATCGTCCGTCAAGTTCTAACAAAACGATCCTCAAAGAAGACAAAAACTTTAAACTTTGCTAGCTACTTTTTTTTTGTGTGTATTGTTTTTTTGTATTCTTCTCACCCTACACCGGAAACGGTAGCGGGTCTAACTAACTAACTAACCGTAATTGTAAAAATAGATTTTTTTCAGATTTTATCGTATTACATATAATTTTTTTATATAAGATTGTATTATTTATTACTCATTACAATAGAACTATGTAGATAGATAGATGTATTATTGAACAACTAACTTTTCATTATATAAATATAATTTTTCTATATAAACATATTTTTTAGATTTTTTATTATACATAGTTCATCATCAATTGTACTCTACTCACACACACCCTCAAGCAAACACATATAAATATATACATGGTTGTATAGCCTACAAGATACATACAAATATATATACATATATATGGACCATTATAGCACTGAAATATTAATTGTTCATAAATTCCTGGAGTTGCACATATTAAAGACTTTGATTTGTTATCTAATCACCATCTATTTTGAAAACTTCCTTGACTTTTGTTGGACTTTGCTAAAGTACTTTCTCAAAACTATATTATTCTTCTAAAATATTGTTCATTTTCTATTAAACAAAAAGTCTCTTAAAAAAAACTATCGTGAACATGAATCAACTGAACAACTTTATTCGAAATATGCTAAGCAAAAGAATTGTTATTGACGACTCTTATAACGTGTTTAATGAAATGGATGACATGTACCAATTAGAAAACAAATTAGATTCTGTTATAGATTCAGAAACTGCCAGTGACAATGAGGAACATTTCAATAATGAAGATAACATTGCATTAGATGTTACGCCAACGGAGATTTTACTCGATGTACAAGATTCTATATTTTCCAACATGTGTATGTTTAATACCATGCGTCCAGAATCAATGAAATCTTATTTTGAGGTGGAGATATGTAGACAAAAAAAATATTCATAAACAAACAGCCTTTTCAAGCAGTCATCTTGCTCATGTAAGACAACATCAGAGCAGAACGAATATAAATAATAAAAGTTCTTCTTGTTTCTTGTATTGAAATACATAAAAGCCGTAAATATGACAATAGGTGTCCATTTCAAACTGTGCAGGAAAAACATGTTATTGTGTCTTTCCTTTCGCACGTAATAGGTATTACCGGTACTTAAATTTTCCTTGTTGCTTCTATATACAGACTTATTCAGCGGTATTTTAAGTTTCTGCACATCGACATGAAAACATTGAGAATGATCCACACTTATTTGTAAATCCATCACTATTGCAATCTTATGCAAAACTGGCCATGTTCTATTAAAATGAGTTCTCAGTTTGATATTAGAGATGTTTATTATCTTTCCTACGTCGTCATACAATAGAAGGAAGGCACGAGATATCAAATCATACGATGTCGCCTAAAAACTATATTTGTCAGACGGTCTAGACTCCAGGGAGTATAATGGGAGTATCAGAGTACGTAGTTTCCCTCTTCATAATAACAAGGAGAATAGTTGTCACCAAAAAATCACGTTATCTTTGAAAATTTAACGGATACAACGCTATGACTTATAATATCATGATATTCATTAATTAGATCCAGCCAATTAATGTTGTTTCGTTCGTTTTTTTTAATCGAGAATCGGATCAGTTAGACGAAAGATGAAGTAAAGGAAAATTAAGGAACATGATTGGTGCATAAAAACTTAGGTGGTTTCAAAAAGAGGACACGGCCTCTTGTCGAAAATAATTTTCGTTTGTCTAACTATATATTTTGTTGAAGTATAGTCTCATTTACGATGCCTTCTCTCATTGGTATTTAATTATTTATTAATTATTTTCTTTGTTTCTATCAATTAATTGCTAACCTAGTATACAAAAATAAATATACGTATGAAAACGTATGTTCTCTGCTGATCAGTTTAACAAAATAGCTAGCAAATACAAGATATGATAATCAAATCGTAATCAAGGAGGTGAACTTCGCACAGAAGAGCAAATGATTACAACAAGGGACGAGAGGGATTGAAATCGTCGGAGCATAGATAACGTAATACTTGCACAGTCCCTAACAACATTGGTAATGTACATTACAAGATGCGTAATTATCCGAAAGCACTTTTATTTCATGAAAAAGCACTTGACATTCAACAACAATCGCTTCCTCAAAATCATCCTGATTTGGCTGGTTCTTACTACAATCTTGCTGTTGTATATAAACACATGGGTAATTATCCGTGTAACGGTATTGACCGTTATGCTTCACCTAATCTATATCATGAC